TGTTTAAACGAGTTAAAGAACTCGATTGAGATCACACGGAAAATTAAAATTAATTAATATAATACTGAAAATAAGGTTAAAGTGAAAAAAGGTCTGATTACACTGTTCGGCAAAAAGGGAAAAATTCATTATACACGAACCGGAAATGTAGAAAAATTTCGTTTTTTGTTTTTCATTTTGTGATCTTATGTCTTTTTTAAAAGTACAATTTTCAAAAAATATTTTAAAATACTTCTACTGATCAAACAATGCCAAATTTGATGTCAGGAGAAGAAGAAGAGTTGGGAAATATTTTGTTATTTAAGAGGGTACGAACATAATTTTGGTTTTATTAAATAATTAAATATTTAGAGATGAATGATGTTTTACAAAAATATTGCGCAATTCAAAAAAAATCAAAACAAACCTCTAACAAAAGGTTCAAATTAAAAATACACATTTACTAATTGATAACACTAGGCTACACTTTATAGACATACAAATTTTAAAGAGTTTTTAAATCAAAGCTTAATTGAGAAAGGAATGTCGATCTGTGATCAACTAAATTTTCGAAAATTGACACATAGCATCTCCTTACGATTGTTAATGCTATCTTCCGATTTGGATGAAATTTGCACCAGTACTATTGGATAATAGGCCACACACAAATATTTAAGGAAACAATAAAGAAATAGCTATCTGTACTCCTTTGGACTATTTTTACTAGAACTAATAGGTGAAATGTTACACTCATTTGAATAAATCCCTGTTTGACCACAATGTCCAACTTTGACCCCCTCTAAGTCCAACAGTTCTTAACGGATAGATAGACAATTTGCTTTCTTAATGAAAAAAGAAAAATGATCAAATTTAATGTTTCGGTTAATTATAAGAAATTTATCGGTTTATTCGTTAATTGAAATTTAGCAATTTTATATTATACGAACAGTTACAGTTCGATATATTAAACGATCGAATACTGTTAAATGTATTTGGTATATAAAAACTGTCTAATTAACCAAAAATAAACCACTGATAATTTAGGAATACGGTGACTAGTGTTTAAACGAGTTAAAGAACTCGATTGAGATCACACGGAAAATTAAAATTAATTAATATAATACTGAAAATAAGGTTAAAGTGAAAAAAGGTCTGATTACACTGTTCGGCAAAAAGGGAAAAATTCATTATACACGAACCGGAAATGTAGAAAAATTTCGTTTTTTGTTTTTCATTTTGTGATCTTATGTCTTTTTTAAAAGTACAATTTTCAAAAAATATTTTAAAATACTTCTACTGATCAAACAATGCCAAATTTGATGTCAGGAGAAGAAGAAGAGTTGGGAAATATTTTGTATTATTTTTATGTCAGGATAAAAAGATGTCAAAAATGCATTTTAAAATGGTTATCCTTTATATATTTAGGGTTTCGATATTATTTTTTCAAAAAAATTTTCAAGATATTTTTGACATCTTTTGATCCTGGCAGAACGAAATAAAAACAAGTAAGAGTGATATATTCGGCTGTGCCGAATCTCATATACCCACCATCAAAGGAATGCTACCCTATAAACATCAGGGTGATTTTACTCATCAAATTAACTGAAGAGGACCTTATATGAGTGATAGGTTTAATAATTGACCGTTTTTCATGTTTGGTTCATACAAAACATCTTTACATCGAATATCACTTCCCGACACTTTCCGCATGAAACTCGGTAGGAAGATTTACATTCCTATAAATGTTTCTTATATAAAATTTCATAACTGTTAACGTATTTTTAAGTCAGCAAAGATAGCTAAAGTAATTTTCTTATGGACCGATCCTCAATACATTTGGCAGAGAGGTTTTAACTCGTATAAAAAATATATGTGTCGAATTTCATCACTTTTCTGTATCTGTATTTTTAAGCCAGTAATGATCGTTTAAGTAATTTTTTGAAGGGCACCTTAGATGGGGAGTAGGGTCAATTATGGACCGATCCTCATAAAATTTGGTAGGGAGATTTTGGATCATATGAAACTTATTTATGTCGAATTTCATCGCTGTATTCGTACTTTTGAAACAGATATGCCTATTACAGCTGTTTTTCGGAGGTTCACTTGTATGGGGGATAACCGAAAACGTAGACCGATATTGTCCATTTTCAATACCAAACAAACCTTATCTATAGAGAATATATGTGGAAAATTTCAATCCCCTATCTCGTTACGTTCGGTCTCTATCGTGCTTTCAACAGGCAGACAGACGCACAGACATCGCTTGATCGTCTTAGAATTTAATAAGGACCCAGAATATATATACTTTTGTGGGTCTATGACCAATATTTCGAAGTGTTACAAACGGAATGACAAAATGAATATACCCCCCATCTTTTTTGATGGTGGGTATAAAACACAAACTATTTTACAACTCTTCTTTGTCATTTGACACCAAATTTGGCATAGTAGGCTAAGCAGAAGTTTTATATTGTTTTAAAAAATGTGCTTCTTTGAAATTTTGAAGTCCTAGTTTCAGACTTATAATATATGGTTCGTGCCTAATTTTCAGTGTCGGACGGTGTTACCTCAATACATATACACTATTGTATATATGTCGAAATCACTTATTATCAAAGATCGCAGTCCATTACTTGAGTTTTTTTTTGGTGATCACATTTTGACCCTGTTTTCCTTGATATACATATGTATCTGCGATCTATGATAATGAGTGATTTTGAGAAATATTCAATAATGTACCTATATGTATTGAGAAATTCAAAAATTATAAAGAACAGTAAGCGGATCCTTGTTTCTGAGTTTTTTGGTAATGTTTCTAAATTATTTTTTTATATTTGGAATGTAAAATTTTAAATCATATTTAGGTATATTACAAAAATACATAGTTATTGGTCTTTTGGTCCAATTATTGTACATATATGTGTGTAACTATTTTAGTTACCATGAATTTTCTAAAACTAATCCCATTGGATATAAGTTTGTACATATTTAATGAATAAATCACCAAAATCCCCCATAGACTCCACCCATCGGCAGCAAAAACAAATAAAGAAAACCCCCCACTTAAGAATTCAAAATAGTTTTTTTCTTTCTTTATAGAGATTTAGAAGATCACTTAAAACAACAACATTGTAGCAGCTTAAAAACAGCTCCACAACAAATAAAGAGATTTACTAAAAAAATACATACATACAAAACTCAGAGTAGACGATCGCTATTGATCGATATTGAGTGTAATGAAAAAAGAGAAGGCAATATTTTTTTATAAAAAAAATAAAAAGATTAACATAAAGCAAAAACAAACAACAACTACAAATAATTGAATGGAAATTAATCATAAAAAAATCAGTAATAAACAATTGAGAGAGTAAAAGGGAGAGAAGAAACAACTAAATTAATAATAGAAAAACTAATATGTGCTCCACTAAAAGAGAAGCATACGGGTTTACTAACACATTTATTGGTTTTATTTTATGCTCCCCATTTGTGGATCTTATTTTTTTATAATGCGAAGAGATTTTTTGGTGGGGAAATGTATAATAAATACGCTCTCACTTGATCTTGGCTGCCAGTGTTTTGTGAGGTTTATCCCCAAATTTGGATATTTTATACCAAAAAATTCCCATTTATAACGATCTGAAGACCTTCTTGGGGTTTATTCAATTTCCGGACTTTGCGGTATAAGTCCGAATGTCTTTAACAAACTAAACTAGAAAAGTTCATGTGTTTATCCTTCACCTGTGGAGCTCTCTAACTAATCTGTGATCCATTTGGCCGCAATGTCTGAATATTTAATATATTTTTTAAATGCCCGTCAAAATATCATTGCCCTTCAAAGATTGCAATCCTGAATAAAAGGATTCTTAAAATCGATTGGAAAAAAGTCCCAAAGTAAGGGGATAAATCGCTTTAACTGGCAACACCTGTTAGTATTAAACCAATTAGCTTATAAAAAAAGCAAAGAGCGCACGTGAGTAACTGACTCTTATCAGTCTGATCAAGAATACAAAAATATTGTTTAAACTTTATCAAAGTTTGGAATTGTTTCAAAAAAGTTTAAACTAATTTTAAATAAATTTCTAATTAAGCATTTTCACCTACACAATATGGAAGAACATTATGTATATTACGTTTAATTCGAGCTCCATTAATCTTGATAAACGTGCATATCTTCTTCAGATTCCCTTAAATAAAATAAAATGCGTTGTAAATTTGTAACAATTTTTCAAATAAGGTTTTATTTTACTGTTAGTTACAGGCATATAAATAACACTAGTATAAATTCATTTAAAATTCCCCCTTCTTTTTCTTTATATGACAATTAATGACATCGTTGAAAAATTGCTTATAACGTAGTAAATGCAATAATCTCTTTTTTTAATAATACGAACAAAAGAAGAGATACTGAGAATTCTCTATAGAGAGTTTAAGAGGTTTATTTCAGGTTTGATTTGCAGTTTTTATATTGCGATTTTTTTTTCTTTCTTTCGACTTTACACTTTGTGCATTTTATCCACAACAATAACAACAACAAAACGTATTAAGTGTTTTTGTTGTTGTTGTGCGATGTCGTTACTGCTATTGTTGGATTTAGTATTTTTTTCGTATTTTTGGTGGTGCTCATCATTTTGTAAATGGTGTATGCAACCAGTAGTTGCTGTAACTCAAGTGCGCGTGCGTGACGTTTTTATGTTTATCTTCGCGATTTTTTTATTTGGCCGTTTTTCGGGTTTTATTTTTATATATTTTTTTGCGATTTTGCTTATGTTGCAAACAAATCTATACAACAGCAACAAACATTTAAAATATCCACTATAGAGCTAATTGTGAAAAGCCGTCGCGTTTTAAGCTTTTCCATTGGATTTGAAAATTTTATGAATTTTATGCAAAAATTATTTAAATAAGGAATTGGATTACAGTGTGTAATAATAAAAAATACAAAAAAAAAAGAAATTATGAAATATTTCTAAAACAAAGTGTTGGGATAAAAAGGAAAATAAATTTAAAATAAGTGTTTTTTTTATTAAAAATTTAGTTTACTTTAAGTAAAGCTCAAAATACGGAATTATATATCTGTTAATATAAACGAAGATATTGGCATTAGGTAATTATTTTTGTATATAGTCTTATCAGTTATCAAACTTTTAAAACACATTTTGAAAAATAAAAATTTTTGAAAATTTTAAAACTATTGTGGAGCTATTCAATTTTAAATCATCTGAGCAAAAGCTTTTTGTCGAACGGTAATTACCTGTTAATGCATTACCTGGTAATGCATTTACTTTAGAGGTTGGCTCCCATACAACCGTATCCCCCGGATAAGGGCTTTTGACCTCATAAATATGTCAAAGATTCTGGTATCTCTCCAAAAATGGGCAAAACTTAGTTTTATATAAGTCTAAATGATACTACTGATTTTTGTAATGATCGGGACTCATTTGACTCTATCCCACATACAAAGTCTCCTTCAGAAAATGGTCAAAATTCACTTAAAACATTAATATCACCATGAAATTCTGCATAAATGTTACCCTCTACTAAAATTTATAATGATAGGTCTATATTAACTTCCTGTCCCCCTCTTTTAGAAAATCACCTTTTTTATTAAAAAACCTACACATTTCTGAATTAAGGTAAAAACTAATTAAATGCTTTATTATAAAAAAAGCAATCCACATTTTTAACATAATTACAAGTGTAGGGTATCATGGTCGGTCATGTCCGACTATATATTCTTACTTGTTTAAATTATTATAGTTAAAAAGTTCATGAAAATTTTAAATTAACCCGTCCGTGTGTACATTAGAGTGCCCCGAGGTACAACCTTTTTAAGAATTTCATGTAGACTTTCAATCCCAGAATGTTTTTTATTTTTCTCGTATTTAGTACATTGAAACGCATCGTTTTAGATGTATTCCTCCCAAAAAGTGATCCACGGGACACCTTAATGTACATACATAGGTGTCGGTTAAGTCGTAAAGGTAATTTGGGAAGTCTTTAATAAGAACTCATGGAATCATGCTTGTGGCCTCCGCTATATATAGCAGAGGTATGTATGGTGGTTACAATCTATAATGGTGCGAACCTCACAAAATAAGTTACAGTGATTATTTCTATTATGAAACTTTTTTAATAGTATTGCAGGCATAAGAGGGATCTTCAATGCTAAATTTGTATGGCGTCTCAGGTGTGTTAGGAACTAACGTCTAGAGAGTTCTAGATATCAATTTTTTGTTTCAAAAACATTCTTTGCAATAATTTTTATCAGGTTGCCTTAAAAATTGCAACCTGGACCCAGGTCGAGAACAATCACATATTATCCCACGCATTAAAGTGATGTAGGGTATAAAATTCTATCACCCTATCGCATGTAGTTTATGTGTATACATACAAATATTCAAAAGAAATCATTTCGCTTATAATTGCTATGGAATATAATAAAACACTTTGACGTACAATTCTAAAATTAAACAATCAATTTAAAACATGCCAATATTTTTCGCGTTGAAGTACAAAGTCCAATAAAAATCCCCAAAATGTTGACAACATGTTTATGACTTCACTAGCAGACATTTTTTCAATATAACAATCTAATTAACTATCAGAGTAAATTATTATACTGAAGGTACTTCAAATCAGAGATGGAAAATACAGTATAATATTATATTATACTCTAAATTAACACATAAATGTATATGAAAGCGGTTTGAACCAGTTTTATACAATTGCTCATAAGATGTAATATATGTATGAACTTGCTATTTATAGATCGTATCTTTTGCAAACCAACATATGGTCGAACGGACAGCTAGATCGATCCCTCTAGATAAATATGTATGTAATTTATGATATGGTAAATGGTATTTGAAAACTTTTAGTTAATTCTTTTTTTCAAATCTACTTTATCCATCTCTGTGACAAATGTTAATGATATTTATTATTTGGTCTCAATGTGCAAATGAGAAAATATTGAGAATGATACTTAAAATAAGTAGATTAGATCAAATAAATAAATTAAAATTTGAGAATAAAAATGTTATCTTACTTACTATTTAACACATGACACTAAAAACAATTAGTATGAATAGAAACACTTTAAATTATAAATTATTTAGCATAGAAACACAATATAATTGTAAACAGCTGGAAAAAATGTTAAAAAGGAAACATATGTGAATTGGCATAAAATTGCGAAATAAAAGGATTATTATTGATCATTGAAAGATCCCTTTAAGTATATTAAATCTTCCTTATTAATCATAAAAACTCTAACCTACTAACATTGCTCAATATCTCTCTATTACCGGCTTTTCAACTTTAATAATACTTGTCAATTGAATGAATAGACGGACTAATTAATTGAATAGAATTTCATATTTTTGTAACGCAGAGCAAAACCGATTGTCACATTTTTTGTACTTAAGAAATATATTTTGCCCACCAGAAGTAAACTGTGGATCCAATTGTCCATTTGGAATCAAAGTGTATACATAATATATTGCGGTATAGAGTCAATATCACATAGCTAATGTGCAATCAAAAGTGATCTAAAGGTAAAAACATCACTAATTAGAAACAGTCTCCCCGCACTGCAGGGAAAAGAATGGATGGATGGACTCACTGACAGACAGATATCCCCTCCCTAACCTAACTTTTCTTATGTCCATTACTAATGACAGGTAGTACCAAGCGTTTTATTTATTTTACCTTATGTATCAAAGAACAAAGACTACAAAAACATGAATATGAGTCCAATAAATAATACTTGTACATTAATATCAATATTTATCAGTTTGTTTGTTTTTAATTGTTTATTTCCAGCCATTTATCGTACTTACGGAATAACTGAGAAATTTCACTTGATTTGTAAAACAGTATTTGAATATTTCTTTAAATCGAATAAATGGTGATTAACAATGTCTATGCATACGATCGATTGACTTTATGAAAGAAAGAGAAAGGTAAGGTGGGGAAAAACGAAAAGAAAAAGAGAACATGAAACTGGGGAACGTGGTCTCTAATAATAACAATAAAAAAAAGTACAAATTGTTTTGTTCAGACACAAAAAATAAAGGTTTTATTTTTCATTTTATTTTGATAACAAACACCCTAACAATGTATTTTTTATTTTTTTAAAATAATATTCACGTCTGAAGTTATGCAATGATGTTAAAAACAGACCTAAGTAAATTTGTACTAATTTGATAAATTATTTTCTAACTCGAAAAAAATGCATATTTCGAAAAGATTTCGTCTGCAATGATTCATTTAGGAATTCGTTACATTTTTGCAATTAATTTCGTCTATTTAGATATATATAATAATATATATAGACTAGACTATAGACAAGACTATAGACTAGACTATAGACTAGACTAGACTAGACTATAGACTAGACTATAGACTAGACTATAGACTAGACTATAGACTAGACTATAGACTAGACTATAGACTAGACTATAGACTAGACTATAACTAGACTATAACTAGACTATAGACTAGACTATAGACTAGACTATAGACTAGACTATAGACTAGACTATAGACTAGACTAGACTATAGACTAGACTATAGACTAGACTATAGACTAGACTATAGACTAGACTATAGACTAGACTATAGACTAGACTATAGACTAGACTATAGACTAGACTATAGACTAGACTATAGACTAGACTATAGACTAGACAATAGACTAGACTATAGACTAGACTATAGACTAGCCTATAGACTAGACTATAGACCAGACTATAGACTAGACTAGACTATAGACTAGACTAGACTATAGACTAGACTAGACTATAGACTAGACTATAGACTAGACTATAGACTAGACTATAGACTAGACTATAGACTAGACTATAGACTAGACTATAGACTAGACTATAGACTAGACTATAAACTAGACTATAGACTAGACTATAACTAGACTATAGACTAGACTATAGACTAGACTATAGACTAGACTATAGACTAACTATAGACTAGACTAGACTATAGACTAGACTATAGACTAGACTATAGACTAGACTATAAACTAGACTATAGACTAGACTATAAACTAGACTATAGACTAGACTATAGACTAGACTATAGACTAGACTATAGACTAGACTATAGACTAGTCTATAGACTAGACTATAGACTAGACTATAGACTAGACTATAGACTAGACTATATACTAACTATAGACTAGACTATAGACTAGACTATAGACTAGACTATAGACTAGACTATAGACTAGACTATAGACTAGACTATAGACTAGACTATAGACTAGACTATAGACTAGACATAGACTAGACTATAGACTAGACTATAGACTAGACTATAGACTAGACTATAGACTAGACTATAGACTAGACTATAGACTAGACTATAGACTAGACTATAGACTAGACTATAGACTAGACTATAGACTAGACTATAGACTAGACTATAGACTAGACTATAGACTAGACATAGACTAGACTAAGACTAGACTAATAGACTAGACTATAGACTAGACTATAGACTAGACTATAGACTAGACTATAGACTAGACTATAGACTAGACTATAGACTAGACTATGACTAACTATAGACTAGACTATAGACTAGACTATAGACTAGACTATAGACTAGACTATAGACTAGACTATAGACTAGACCATAGACTAGACTATAGACTAGACTATAGACTACACTTTAGACTAGAGAATAAGTTAATAACTATTATTTAACATTTTCAAATGCATTTTCCTGAGAAAATTCTGTTCATGTAAGAAAATTTTTTCGGATCACGTTAAAAAACTTAATTTTTGAATGGCGTTTGAGCAAAATGTCAAAATTCCCATTTTATAATCTGAACAAGTTTTTAATCTTTTTGATATTTAAATTTAAACTATTCAAAAATTTCGCATAATCATGGCACGTGTAGCAAAATTATTTTTTCGCAAATAATCAAAATATTTATTCAGAAAAATAAAAACAAATTCAAATTAATCAAATATTTATGACGATAACAATAGCATTTAGAACATGTTTATACATAACACTTTGGATTTGGTGCAGAATCAGGAAATATCCGGTCAGTTAAACGAGGTGATAGATCACATGACTTTC